ATATAAGTTGCCTCCGCTTTAGACGTCCCCCAAATATGGGGGTCGTCTAAAGAGCAGAAGCACATGATATTTGACCAATCACCTAACCTAATATGAGTTTTCATTATATTCGGTTAAATTTCGACATGGTTGACATTTTTCAATTATAAATGAAAGTCGATTTATATAATGAAAAATCGAGATAATGTAAAGAAAAATTACACAGAGTTGCTTAAAGCAAAGCATATCACGAGATTACCCGATAGTCACCTGTTGCCTTTAACCAATCAAAAATTGTGAAATTTAATTAACCCGGATCAGTCCGAAAATCAAAACAAGTAATTAAACTCAATTATATAAGATGACCCTAACCCTAAAGTTAATCCAATAAAATATATCGATATATTATAAGAATCTGCTCCGCTTTAGACGTACCCCAAATATGTAATTATAGACGCACCCTCTGATAGGTGGTGTGTAACAATAAGAGATTATCGGAATTTCTATACCAAATTTTTATTTACAAAATCTAAACAGTTAAATGGGGTTTTTTTTTTTTTTTTATCCATGAAGTATTTTTAAAGCATGTATTATCGTAATTTTTAAAATGCCGATGAAATAAATTTTCTGAGGATCCCAAACAATTTTTTTATTTTAATGTTATTTACATTTGATTGTATTTATAACGATAATACACTTAGATTTTGTCAAATGACCAAAAGTCAAAATTATACGCGTTTGGTTAGGATGTGTAACGGCCTATTAAATCATAGGCAGGGTCACTAATGATCTTCACTAATTTCGGATTTTTTTATGGGTATCGATTCACACATATCAATCTTATTAACATTTATTGATTTTTTTTAATTGAACCTCAAGACTAGCTCTGCACTGAAATAGAGATATTTTTTTAATATATTTATAAAAAAATATATAGAACACTAATAATTAATGTTTTCGGTTTCGATTATCATTTTTTTACTTTTTTTTTAAAAAAAAAATTAAAAAAATAGCTCTATTTCAGTGTAAAGCTGATTTAGAGCTTCAAGTTAAAAAAAAATAATATATTATTTAATTAATTATTGATTTCAAAAAATGTAATTTTATTTTAGTACAATTATAGCGATAATCATATTAATTTGGGGTTCGATTTACAATAAAATTACTAATTCATCTCCCAAAATCCCGAAAGCAATTTTTGAATTTTGAGCATCTGGGTTTTAACTATATGTAAAACAAAATCCCATTAGAAAATCCGCAATTAGTGATGATCACTATTAACCCTGCCTATGTTTGATTTAATAGGCCGTTACACACCCTAGCGTTTGGTTATAATGCTTTCCGACAAACTCACCCTGAAATTCAGGATGTTATCATCAGTTTACCAACTGATATAACGGCATTCGCAGACAAAATAATTTGGGCTAATATGAACGCAACTTTGAGCGAAAAGGTAGCCAAAGTTATCAAAACTTTTTGTTCAATATCTAATTTTGTTATAAATTATTTTAGTCTATAAAAAATGGGAAAGATTCAACTGTATTGTTAACGTGGAGTTTTGACTCTGTAGAAATTCACTGACTCGTAAATCTTGGTAAAGAGTGAAAAAATGCTTTGGAAACGACAATAGCATCCTAGGTTTTCTTGAAATATTCATTTCGAAGAGGAGCATTCGAGAATGTATGAAATTAGTAATTCTTATGCAAAATTTGTTGACGCATCTCAATTTTGGACCGGCAATGCTATGATTGTGGTTACAAGTAAGATAACAAGAGGGTGTCATTTACAGTCAACCTTTCCGAATCCGGACCTGGATAATCCGAACCCTTAATAAACTCTAAAAACCGAACACAAAACTTCCGAAAATTTGTAAATTTTATTATAAAGTTCGGATTAGCAACATTAGTACTCTTTGAGAACTGAACTTTTTTGTTATTTTTACATATGATTGCTGCCAAGCAGTGCGCAAAATTTCCGGAAGCTACCTTTTCTCCGGCGGTGTTTATTGTAACCGGAACTTAGAAAAACACCGCCAAATGTAGCAATTTTTTAATTTATTTTCAATTAGTTTTATTATTATTTTGCAACAAAATTAGCAATATATTAGCAAGAATTTATATTTATAAATTTACATAGTTCTATTTTTCTTATTGTACTACTCCTGATATACTTTGTCCCAATTTATTCTTTGCTTTCTTTTCCCTCCAATGAAATTCGCATTAATATCTAAAGTTGACGTATTTAAATAATTGTACAAATGAGTTTTAATTATATTTTGTTTTGCAATATGAATTAATTTAATCATATTAGAAAAAGTATTTAAATATTTGCAAATTAGAATAGAAAGTAATTGTCATAAAGAAAAAGTTAAAAATTTTAAAAAACTATATTTTTAAACCCTGGTCACTCGAATTTTATTAATAGTTATAAATTTTGTTTATTAAGAATTTTTGTTGTTTCTT